AGTGTGAAAGGTGGTACAAAAGGTGGTCACTGCTGTAGCTGCTGCTACTTTCTTGTGCTCTGCTGCATCTGGTGAATTGTCAGTGAAGTGGGTGGGAAGTTTGTCCTGATCCATAGGCTGGTAGTTTGTAACTATCATATATAAAATCAGTTGAGCAGTATTTTCTTAATTAACCATAATGAATTAATTTCTCCTACAATGCAAGTATAACATGTACTTTAAAAAGTAACTTCCCAAGTTCTGTTTAAACCCAGTCCTGGGAGTCTGTTGTCCCTCTCGTTCTCTTCTTCCATGTCTTCTGTGGCTGATGTCTGAGGCAGTGAGGGCCATTTTCTCATCTATCTCCCTCCCCCAAAATGGACCGCTTCAGTGTGGTATGAATATCAGAAGTGAAGATTGTTTTGGGATTTGAGGAGGAGCTCTGAGGTCATGCAACAAATTGCACCACCACATTTGTGGCTGGTTTGCATGCATTTGACGGTTTGGAGAGTTTAAAAAACTTTCCCCAAATTGGCACAAATATTTTAATGCACAGGGGGTGAGGGGACAGGCACTTCAGGGACTACTCTTTGGGATCCCAAAGGCCTTATTCGGTTTATAGGATGCATTTTCCCACTCCTGCTACATGTTTTTCCCTTTGATGGCAAAAGGACTTTTCTGAACATATCATTTTCTTTTCTTAAGCAGTCCTGTCAAATGTTGAAATACTTGCCCTTCTTTAAAACATCACTGTGCTCACTTTGAGCTGCACTGTAATGCAATTGCCCTTTCAGTTTTGTAGGAATGTTAACCTCTAGTAAATGCTTCTCTTTGAAGCTCCAGATATTGTCCAGAATATCCAGTGCACTGCAACCAGCTGGCAGTTAGTTCTAGTGCAGTGGAATCCTCCTTTGAAGACAAATGGGATTATTATCCATTACATCATAACGTTTGGAAATAATTCAATCATCATATCTTCCACTAATGAAACAGTCCATACTTTCAAAGACTTGTTATCAAATACCTCTTACCAGTTTAAAATAAAAGCTGCAACAGCTGCAGGGGAAGGAGAAGAACAGACATGTAATGCCAGCACATTTCCAGAAAAAGGTAACAATTCATTTGATTTTTGTTTTTGGAGAATTCCCCACCTTTTTCATATTCAGTTTGCTGATCTAGTTCATGAATTTGTTTCTCACATTGGTTGCTCAGTGAATACTCATGGTTTCTTTTAATTCACTGGGTAAGAACTAAGCTATCAGTGTCAGAGGGGAAGCAAAGCCATATTAGGAAGATAACTCACGGTACGTTTCTACTACAGTGTTTTATTCTCTAGCTTCAAAAATTTACTAGGAAGTCAATCTTTTATTGGAATTATGAGTATTTTTTCCAACTAAACATGTGCTCAAACTGATTCTGGTAACTATACTAAAAAGTAGTTGCTATTAGGTCAATGTTTTCCTAACTGTATGTTCACATGAATTGTTTTCTACTGAGCAGTAGCCATTTGAAATTGGAGACTTATGATTAGAAATGGAAACAGTTTTATAGTCATTCTCAGCTTCTTATTTATGGTGGTCTATGTTAGTCACAGACACATAGCCAACACTGAGTCACTCTCAAAGCATTTATTTTTGACACCAAGTGAAATCAAATTAAACTCACTGTCTCACTGCAAAGTCTCTGAACAACAGTGTTTGGAAGGATTGCTTAATTGTTTTAGTGTTTGGACCATCACAACTGAATGCAATGGAGCATGAATAACGTATATGTTTGCATACACGTGTATTTATGTTTGGTATAATATTTATTTTGTTTTGCTAACATATACATTGAAGGGTGTTTTGCTTCCTTTTATGGATGGAAATATAAATGTAAATAAATATTTTCAGCCATGAGAAGTGAACAGCTGGACAGATTCCCTTCTGGGACTACAGGCAGCCCCCAAGTTACAAACAAGATAGGTTATGTAGGTTTGTTCTTAAGTTTGTTTGGTTTTGTGTGTGTCGGGAGTGACTTGAGAAACTGCAAGTCGCTTCTGGTGTGAGAGAATTGGCTGTCTGCAAGGATGTTGGCCAAGGGATGCCCAGATGTTTTACCATCCTGTGGGAGGCTTCTCTCATGTCCCCACATGAGAAGCTGGAGCTGACAGACGGGAGTTCACTCCACTTCCCAGATTCAAACCACCGACCCTTTGGTCAGGAGTCCTGCCAGCACAAGGATTTTAACCCATTTGTTTGTAAGTCAGAACAGGTACATTTTTTAAGTGTAACTCCAGCCAAATATATATCTTTTTAAGTTTTGGATAGCATAGAGAAGAGTTAACATCCCTGTGGTGTTAGTTTTGCAGTCTGTGCCCTGTTCAGAAGATTTCATCTCATTTTGTGTCCCTGTGATAATTGGATTTTAAAAAATGTTGTTTATTGTGGAAACAAGGGTTAGTGAGAAAGCTTCAGTGGAGACACCTTTTCCCTTGACAACTCTTTCAGGAGAGAATGTTGCTTCCTAGTGATGGATTTCTCTCACTTCCTGTTGTCCCACCCCCATTCTTAACTGTGAGTCATTTGTAAGTCAGATGTTTGTAACTCAGGAACTGCTTGTGTATAGTTTATCAAGCTACAACTTAGGATGTGTGAGAGATTTTTTTTTACATTTTATGTATATTATTAATATGTACAGGGTGAAGCAGCACAACTTCCTTTTTTAAAAACTTAATAAAACCCATTGTATGAATCAGATTTTTTTTTTATAATGTAGGTGCATACCCAAAGTTTTGTTTTATGTCTAGCAATGAAATAGTAAGGCATAGGGCTGGATCCAAAAATGTCCTTCAGCTCATGAAGGAAGCTCTTTCAATAATTCAGCTACCCATTGCTTTATTTACATCATGGCTTTCTCTGGGAACCAAGGCAGTTTACAAACAAAAAACACATATTGTTAACAACATAAAAAATCAATATTAAAACAATATTAAATAACAGCATTGCAATCAGTTAAAACCTTAGTTTAAAACAGATTGAAAACAATACACTATTTTATTAAAATTAGTGTCCAAAAGCTTTTAATGTCCAAAGCTTGCTGTGGGGGGAAAAGGTCTGAACCTGTTGCTGAAAGAAAAACTAGGAGCTATCCTCACTTTCCTAGAGAGGGAATTCCGAAGTTAGAACCAGCCATGGAGAAGGTCTCTATTGTTTTCAGCAGCCATGCCATTCTCCCCTGACGCTCTTAAACTTAGAGCGGAACATATGGTCCTAGCCCAGGACCTAATTGTATAAGGACCTCATCACATGAAGTTGCATCCCATGTTCTCCTTGTCTCTTAGGATGCATTTAGCACAGTTTGGGGACAGAGCCCTACCAGAAGTAGCTCTATGTTGTTTAATGAGAACTGGCGGGCTCTGTTCCCAAACTCTGCTGGATGTGTCCTAGGACGGGTAAAAACCTTAATGTGATGAGTTTCTAAGTCAAAACCAGCACATTGAATTTTGTTTGGATATAGGCCAGCAGCTAGTAGACCTGTTGAAACAATACATTTGAGTCCTTCCTGTAAAAAGCACCTGTAAATAATCTGGCCACAGCTCTTTGAATTAGTTGAAATTTCCAGACATAGTACATAGACTTTCAGTATTATGGAAACCCCTGTGAATGGAATGGCAGTGGATAATTTTCACCCATTTGCCTTGCTCTCTATGAACCTTGTCCAGTACTCTTCTGACCATCTGGGGCATATTTGAGTGAAAACGCAGTGAGCTAATCAGGGAAGAAGAAACCCAAAAGAGTGAGTTTTCCATGAGCAGAATTATACTTATAGAACCTCTGTATCTCCTGGTTCCTCATATTGTGTGTACTCAAGAGACCTCTGTTCTGTCGCCGCTGAGCCTATAGCTAGTTGATTTAGATATAGGGCCAGGGGCCCTAGGAAAAGTTCTCAGAGGCATCCTTTACAAAAGGAATCTTCAAATGGCTTAAAAGGTACAACAAAGTCTTTTATTAATGAATCAAACAGGAATTGTAAAACTTTCTTGGTAAAGTATCAGTTCTCTCAAACTTGTCCGCAGGGAACAGGCATTATCTTCAATAACTTTCTTCAAAGGAAAATTCCCCTTTTTAACTTTTCCCAAGGCTAACTAAAATCCAACCCTCACTGGTGTGGGCTCCTCTGCCAGGCTGAACTGCTTCTCGAAACACTGAGAGGACCTACCAGATAGGCAATGGATGTTCTTTAGAGTTGGCTGTCTTCCTGGAAACTCCCAAGGCTGTAGGAAGGAATCCCTGGAGTTCTTAGGAGACCCTTAAAGCTGTGGGAATGCTTCCCTGGCGTTCTTTCCCTGGAGCTCTTAAAGGTTGAAGCCTTTGTACAGGGGAAGTAAACACATCCTATACATTGGCTAACCTTGCTGTGACTGACTGGAAAAGGCTCCCTTCCCTCCAAAGCCTAGAAAGGGGGTGGAACCAGGGAACCTAACGATAACTGACAGGTGGCTTGCCCTATGATTGCAAACTATAACAGGAAGCCACCCTGCTGCAAAATCCCAAGCCTGGGATTGCAAACAAACATTTAATGCAAAGCAAACAGAATTGGAGCTCCTGGTGCAATTGTACCTGCACAACCTCTCTCTACCATGATGGCTTCTTTCAATGTTTATTGAACCAATAAACTTCAGAAAGGGTTACAGATTCTACCAACCAACATAGGATGTGCCCCTACATAGCCTACAAATATATACAGTAAGATAATAATAATAATAATAATAATAATAATAATAATACTTTATTTTTAAACTACCCTCTCTCCCCGAGAGAGCAAATATTATTTTGCTCTGAAGTGTGTGGCAAGTATTTCTATCATGTTTTGACACCCCTTGGCTTCCTAGAAGTCAATCATTTTTTTGGCTCTGTAGGATGTGTGGTGCATTTCCATCACGGGGATGGGGGGAGAGCGCTTTTTTAAAAAAAAACAAAAAAACAAGTTGAACAGAAAATGACTACAATTCATTTCCTCTTGTTTAAAAAGACATCTTCTGGGTGAGAGCCCAGAAAGACCCCAAAACATATTGAAAATGCCTTCCATGCCCTAGAAGCCTTCTAAAGATATTTGATGGGTAGTTTTTGTGATGGACCAGTCAAAGTTTCCAGGGGAAGGGGACCGTTAATGGAGACCCTGGCCTTTCCATAATTGTCCACATGTTATTTAGAGTTGTGTAAGCAGGTGCCAAGTATCCAGGTGGTATGTAAAAGAATATTTTCTGATCTGATATGCAGAATTTTCAGGGAACTGCTAAAAGTGTTTTCTTGTACCAGATAAGCCATGAATGTGACCTTCCTTAATTTAAAAAAAAATTAGTATAAAAATCTTCAATGAATCATGGATATTGAGACATTTTCCCAGCAAGCAGCACAGTTTGTTTTTAAGGGAGGTTAGAGGGATAATATCTCGATAATCTGCTTTTCTTTGCAATGTAATAGCAATCCTGTTCTTCTATGTCTCCTGATAGTTCTAAGGTGGAAATTCGGTGACCCATTTAAAGCAGTGGTTCTCAACCTGAGGTCCTCAGATGTTTTTGGCCTACAACTCCCAGAAATCCTAACAGCTGGTAAACTGGCTAGGATTTCTGGGAGTTGTAGGCCAAAAACATCTGAGGACCCCAGGTTGAGAACCACTGCTTTAAAGGATCAAGTAAGGCCTTTCCCTTTGCCATCCCCTCCCCAGGGGCAGGTCTGATCTCTATCAGGAGAGAGTTCCACAGCCAAGGGGCCACCACCGAGAAGGCCCTGTCTCTCGTCCCCACCAGATGCGATTGCGAAGGTGGTGGGACCTAGAACAGGGCCCCTCCAGAAGATCTTAACAACCTTGATGGTTCATAGGGGAGAATCCGTTCAGACAGGTAAACTGGGCCGGAGTCGTTTAAGGCTTTATAGGTCAACACCAGCACTTTGAATTTCTTTTGAACTGCTTGCGATGACAAGAGTTCAATTTTCAAGAGGGTTAGTGTGAAAATATGAGATTTTAAAGTGTTATCAAAAGAATTTTAGTTAATAAGAACATTGAATATAACCAGGTCAAAAATGAGTCCCCTGCTGAAGTCTGTTCCTTCACAGAACAATGGTAAT